AGAAGAGCAATCAGCCGAAGGGATTAGGTGAGGAGGGGAAACTCAGGGACGCCCAAAGAAGCAGGCCAGAAGAGCAGGAGAAAGGGGATTAAAAGACAGGAAGCCAGAGAGAGGAACAGAGTTGTTGTTGTTAGGTGTCATCAAATTGGTTCTCACAGTGACCCTGTGTACAACAGAACACTGTACAACAGAAACACTGCCCAGTCCTGCACCAGCCTCACAATTCCTGCTATGCTTGAGCCCATCATCACAGCTACTGTGTCAATCCATCTAGTTGAGGGTCTTCCCCTTTTTCACTGACCCTCTACTTTATCAAATATGATATCCTTCTCCAGGGATTGGTCCCTTCTGACAACATGACCAAAGTGCAAGAGATGAAGTGTGGTCATTCTAACTCTATTTTATTACTACATACATGGGTATAAGCCGCTGGCATCTCTTGCCTCATCAACTAAGAGCCTCATAACTGGTCCAAATCCCACTGCAGCTTTTGTAGTACATGAAATTATAGCTTCCACATCAACTTAGAATAGATTCTTAATTTTCTAATGTGTACAAAGCCCTTCAAGGCTGACTCCCCACTACTCACTCTCCTAGACCAGTCACATGAGGAACATTCTAGTTCTTCAAATTCTTCATTTTCTTGTCTTTGGACTTTTGCATATAATCAAGATACTCTCCTTCTTCTAATTCCTAGTTACACCTGCTCTTGCTTGAAGTTGCTGTTGTTGTGTGCCATTGAGTCAGACCTGACTCATAGCAACCCCTCCTTGGGTTGCTGAGGCAGTATCAGTACGGAAGTAGATTGCCCAACCTTCCTTCCAAGAAATGGCTGGTGGGCTTGAACCACCAACCTCTAGTTAGCAGTCAAGTGCCTTAGGCACTATGCTACTCAGTCTAAATATCACCATATACTTTCCTATCATGTCACTCATTATTTTTATTGTTATTCTGCCTTCCTCATCATACGGCAAGTTCCATGAAGGCAGTGACCATATATTACTCATCAATGTATTCTCAGGAGCTGGCACTGTGCCTGGCACAAGAGTTGATACTCAATAAATATTTGTTCAATGAGACAATGAATGTCTAGCTACTCAAACACAAATAAGAAACTGAGACATCCACAGGCTCTTACAGGATCTCTGGTAGTGCAATGCTTTGACTGCTCACCGGAAGGTTGGTGGTTCGAACCCACCAGCTGCCCCATGGAAGGAAGATGGGGCAATCTACTTCTGTAAATATTGACAGCCTTGGAAACCCAATGGGGGCTGCTATGAGTCGGAATCAACTTGATGGCAGTGCATTTTTTTTTTTTTTAAATAGGCTCTTGAAACAAGAGTGTCTGATTCAGTAAAAAGACCAATTTTTTTGAGTACAGCAAACACCACTTTTTTTTTTAACTACCTAAAGAATGCTGTGCAAATGGTTAGGAGAATTTACTAATTTTCAGTAACAAACCAAGATTTATTCTCTTCCAAATTATCTGAATGATTTACTGTCTAATGAACCATTCAACAGTTACCTTGCTTACTTCCTTTAAGGCCCTTTTGCAGACTTCATACTTTGGAGAGTCCTTAGATGTTTTTTGACAGATAGTCTGCAATAAAGTAAAAGTGGATGAAATTAATTGATTTATTTTATTAAGTAAAATGAAATCAGTGTCTAACCATATCCTTTTACTCATAGTAGATTTAAAAATGCTGAACACAATATTAAGGGGTGAATATGAAGATGACATTAAAGTCCAATTATAACACTAAGAAATAATCTTTAAACATACAGGATCCAAGTGAATCTAGGAAAATGGTTCAGTTAGAGGATACACTTCAGAAGTGGTAGAACCTAGTTTCAAATCCCAGATTTGTCCATTTTTGACCTTGGGCTTATCACCTACCTCGTCTTTAGATGCCTCAGTTTCCTCATCTTTAAAATGGGGCTAATGCCAACTATATCACAAGGCTGTTGCAAGGATTAAATGAGAAAATGTGTGGAAAGTTCTTCCTAAGTGCCTGGCATATGGTCAGCCTTCAATACAATGTAAGTTACTTTAATTATCACCATCACTATCATCATTATTATAAGTGATAACCTTATTTGAAGATAACAAAATGCTGATAAAAAGATTAAGAAGAAAAGGGTAGTTAGGTCTTCCTTGATATGTACTGCCAAATTTCCATTATGATGATAAAACTGAATTCAGAGAGAGTCATTCAGGGCAAAGTGACTTACATATAACTAACTTTTGAAAACATATATTCAAAGCCAACAGAACCATTTTTATCATTAAAATGTTCATTTCAATTAGCAAGTTTAACTAAAACCTCAAATGAAGTAAAACTGATGAGACAGTATTGTAAATATGTTTACATTCTGCATAGGTGGTCAGATTCTCACTTATGTCAAACAGATCAGGGCTACAGGCATGTAGCAGAGATGGAAGGCAGTTGGCAACTAGCAAAGCGCTGGCACGTTAGGTGCAGATTAATACCAGGTTTATCAACCAGGAAGTCAGGAGTTAAGATTATCACATGTGGTACATGAGAAGCACAGAGTACATTATCTGTGTGTTTATAATAACAGCTCTCAAATTTTTATGACTGTGACCCAGTGTACAAAATAGATACTATACTACTGTACACATGCACACATAAAGGACATAAGATTTTATTTACAATTAATATTTAACCACATCATGAACTACATACATTAATACATTAACCATTTCATTTTTAAAAATGGTTTTCATGATTTAAAAATTCATTTCATGACCAACTAATGACCACTAAAGCAGTATGAAAAACACTGGTGCATGTCCCTGGGAGCAGGTGTCCTTCATTAGCATCCACAGTGTCTGAGCACACTGAAGTTATATAAAATTCAGTGCAAACATGAACTTTTTAGGGAGAGCTTTACTCACAATTTCAAAGGGGTCAGTGACCCATAAATATTTAGAGCCCACTGAGAAATCAAGGCACAAAGCTTCAACCTTGGACAACATGATATATGTTAGACATTGTGAACCCCATCCAACTTGTATAACTTTCTTCAAATTAAAAGGGAGTAAGAATGAAAAATGCCAGATCATAGCACACACAGAATCTAAGTAAACATGGCTAAAATGGACATTTTTCAATAGAAAAATAATGAAAAAAATCTAACATTACAAAAAAATAACACATTTAGAAAGAACTATTTTTTTTAAAAAAAGTAAAAGAATGAATCCTAAAAATCCATTACTCTAACACTATAGGAAATAATACATTAAAAAAGAACTCATTTCTCATAGAAAATAGGAAAGTTTCAAGTAATATTTGTCTGTATGGATCAAAATCTCACATTCTTAACAAATTTTAAAGTCACATGAAGTAAATCATTTTTTAAGCCAAAATTTTATTTTGATAACCCGACTAGATTCTATTCTTAGACATGGTCTTTAAAAAAAAAAATAGTAGAAAGCTAAATTTTCAATATTGCAAGTTTCTCAAAATATTTAGGTGGGAGAAGTTCCTAATTCATAGACGATACATGAAAGAAGAATGCTGAACTTTTCTCAGTCACTCTGCACAATGTGTAACAGGGGACATTTATGTCTTGTTACAGTAAAAGAGTTCCATTCGTGTGTGAAATGGCAGCACCACAGCATCATGGAATATTACAAGTAATCAACCTGAGAAAACTGAGGTCCAAAGAGATTAAGTAATTTGCCCAAGGTGATATGCCTAATTAGTGGGTCAGCCAGAAACGGAATCTAGGTCTCCTGACTTTTAAAGCCAATATTCTTCCCGTTTTAAAAAATGTGATGCAAGTGGGTGATGTAATCTAAATTTTTCAGAGTGACACACAAGCCTAAATATTAAAGATATTGCCAAATATACCAGACACAAGTGAGAATTTCCAACCAAACAGCACTTTCTCACTTCTTGTTGGCTGCTCTTGAGTCAGCCCCCCAGACCCATGGCGACCCCATGTGTTACAGAGTAGAACTGCTCCATAGGGTTTTCTTGGCCATTATTGTTACAGAAGCAGTTCACCACACCTTTCTTCTGCAGAGCCACAGGGCGAGTTTGACCCATCAACCTTTAGGTCAGCAGCAGATCATAAACCACATCATCCAGGCACCCTTCCAAACAAATAGCACCTTCTCGTTTAGTGAGGTATTTTATCAAAGAGACATGCATTAATTTAAAGAAAATAAGATTAAGATTAATTTTCTCAGATTTATAGCAGTAAACTATGCACACAAGAAAAAAGCCATCAGGTTATCTCTTACGTCCATGAGCAGGGGTAGGCGGGTCACTCTCTGCATGGGAAGAATGAGGAAGGAGATCATAGGTAAGTTCCGACAGTCTTCATGGGTCTCAATCCGTGATAATACTTCCTTAAAAGATGGATTAGTGGCTCTGAGGAAATAGAGGGGAAAAAAAAAAAACTTCAAAATATTTCCTCCTCTAAGTTCAGAAACAAGAAAAATGTATTACAAAATACTGTAATTCAGACATTATCATTAATTTTTAAGTTTATGAAAACAACGTAACACATAATTACGTAATTACACAGATGTCTTATTTGTCTTATATTTGAGGCTGAATATAAAATATGAGTGTAAGATAACAATGTGTACAATAAAACAGAAATGCATGAGCTAGAAATTTACATGGCTGTTATTCTTAGGTACTGTTGAATTGATTCCGACTCATAGTGACCATATGTACAAAGAACGAAACAATGGTGAGGTCCTGCATCAGCTTCACAATCCTTGCTATGCTTGAGCCCATTGTTGTAGCTTCTGTGTCAATCAATCTCATTGAGGGTCTTCTCCTTTTCCTCTGACCCTCTACTTTACCAAGCATGATATCCTTCTCCAGGGACTGTTCCTTTCTGACCACATGACCGAAACAGATAAAATGAAATTTATGCAAATTTATAAAAGTAGAAAATAAACAAATGAAGAGGCAATGAATGATACCATAATGGCTAATATATTAGTTATCAATTAATATACACAGTTCTCATAAATGATAAACTACAAACACAAAGAATTAATAACAAATGATATGCTTTAAGTCTCTCCTCTAGCCCTAGTCAATGATCTAAGAAAGCAATGGATTTATTTACTAGTGGTTTTTGGCCTTTTTCAACAGCCCTCTTTCTAAGACAGAAAATCTTTTGACCATGTCACCCAGAATATTCTTCCTCCTCTCTCAGTGACATGAATAATGATAGCACTGCCACAACATTTTTATGGAAGTTAGCATCGTAAGATTCTCCAATATACATTATGTCATGTGGAACCATCCATGTAACTTTTAAGGAAGGCTAGATAGGGATTTCATTAAGAGAATGGAAGCTCAGGAAAGTCTTGCCAAATTTGCCAAATAACAGACTTAGTAATTAGCAAAGACAGAAGAGGGGCTGCAGGGTTGAGAGGGAAATTGGGGTGGTGGTGGTGATGGAGATGGGAGGTGGTGGTACTGGATAGTGTATTCTCATCTTCTCAAAAGAAGGTCCAGGAAACAGAGCAGCAGCACTGGTAGACATTTTTTACGTATTTCAAAAATTAGAAGATTTGGATCATGGCTGCTAAAAATAAATTAGGAAATGCCCAGAATAGCAAATTAAAAGAAACCACACAGAAATGTTTTACTTTTATTTCCTCAAGTTGAGGAGTTAGCACTAAAAAGATTTTTAAGATGTTAAAAAAATAATCAAACTCTAAACCAGTTGCACATTAAAATCACCCAGCTCCCTGGCCCCACCCACAAAGACTCTGATTAATCTGATGGATGCTTGTCTGCTTGTTTTCAGAGTCCTAGGTGTTTCTAATGTGCAGTTGAAGTTGAAAGTCACTACACTAACTTCTAAATTCACATCAACTGCAACAAAGTCCCTGAAAACACAAATACTAATTTCCAAGTGAGAGCCCAAATAATGGTATCATTTAGCTAATTTAGATAAAAACTTTTATTTTTAAATTTAAATAATATACAGCAATACCCAAAACAAACAAACAAACAAACTCACTGCCACTGAGTCCATTGCAACTCATAGCGGCCCCTCCTTGGGTTTCTGAGGCCGTACCTCTATGGAAGGAGAGTGCCCAGTCTTCCTTCTGAGGAGTGGCTGGTAGGTTTGAACCGCCAACTTTCTGAATAGCAGTCAAATGCCTTAGGCGCTATGCCCCCAGAGCTCCCTATTCATATTTTTAATATCTTGCAAAACAAAACAAAAGTCGAATTTAGCCCTAATTTAAGGCTTTGGTTTCAAACATGCAATTTGTGTTCTCTAACAATTACAGGCCAATGTATATCTTTTTCTGCCAGTGGCTCACAAAGGGAGATGGGGGAGAAAGGGAGAAGAGTGAGGGGATGAGATTTTTACTCCCACCAGGGGACATATGGCAATGTCTGCAGACTTTTGTCCTTGTCCCAATTGGGGTGGGGATGCTACTTACATCTAGTAGGTAGGGATCACGGATGCTGCTAAACATCCTACAACACATAGGACTCTCCAACAACACAGACATCCATCCCAAAATGTCAAGGTGCAGAAGTTGAGACAAGCTTTACACAAAAGTACTTCATTTAAGTTTGGCAGCTGTGGGTTTTCCATCCTGCCCATACAAGAGTTTCATGAGGAAGCAGGAGGGAGAGGAAACATATCAGCCCTTCTCCCTTCTCATCAACTCAGGAGGCTTTAGTTGGTTCTGTTTCTCAAAGCAGCTGTGAGGTAATCAACACCAACCATGACCCCTCCACAGGGGTCCACACACTGCACTGTAGCTGACCAGAGCTCCATGGGATGGCCATAAATGCCACAAGGCATGGGAGGATAGGAGGATAGTATTAGCCCATAAGCCTTCAAAATGAGTTTACAGTACTGTACAATTGTGCCATAAAACAAACAGCTACTTGTGGTAAACAAGGCCCCTGAAAATAAAACAAGAGGCACTTACTAAAGAATCACTGACTCTCTCAAAGACACAAATGGCATTTACATATATCAAGTCAAAGCTCTCAATAACTGACATAGGACAATGGGAAAAGATACAGAGGGAAATTTAATGTTTATCTCTCTCTCTCTTTTTTTTTTTTTGTATAATTAAAATCTTCAAGAACATTTTTTTTCAGTTGCTTTCCTTCAGATATTGTCTCCTCTCCTCACCCTAATTACCCAGATCCTATAACAACTTAAAATAGTACGCACTTGAGTGGAGGAAGATCAGAACAACAGAGAAAACCTTGGATCCCTAAGGCTCTAGCTGGACCCACAAAAGAACCCTCTCTTAGCTTCTGGTAAACCACTTAGTTGTCAGATGTTGCTAGTTGTTATCCCATTGACTCAGACTCATGGTAACATGGTGTATAGCAGAAGGAAACACTGTCCAGTCCTGTGTCAGTTCACATCTTAGAAAGCTGGGAGATTTGAAGTGATGATTACCTCAGTGTCTTGCAGCAATTACAAAAAGTAAATAACAACAGCCATGATTTCATAATTGCTTTACAGAGAAAATTCTGCACAGACTAGGTATTTCTACTCTCATCCTGAAAGCATTGCTCTTGAACATTTCTCCCCTAAGAAAAAATCCATTAGGAAGTACTTCTAACTACGATCTTAGACATCAATTCATTTAAATCAACATGACCTATTAGAAGTAAGTCAGACTACTGAATCTATAACATTTGTTATTGCTTACAACAATTTCTGCAGTGTCCGTTGTTGGTAGACTTCATTTGTGCAGTATTTCACATATGGGTCAAATGTAGATGTTGTGTGTTTTTCTACAATGTCACTTATATCATCAATGAAGATATTATTCTGATGTCTTGCCTCCAACTCTGTAAAGAATCTGAAAAGACAAAAACAAAAGCATGTATACTCTCTTTCATATACTTCAATAGACAACAGATTATCCTTATATACTTCTATTATACTGTGTTTAAAAGTGTCAGCATCACACGGTATCAACTCACTAAGTGTGTTAGTTATCTAGTTCGGCTATAATAGAAGTACCACAAGTAGATGGATTTAACAAACAGAAATGTATCATCTCATAGTTTAGGAGGCTAGCAGTCCAAATTCAGGGCTCTGGCTCTAGGCTTTCTCTCTGTCAGTTCTCGAGGAAGGTCCTTAACTCTTACAAGCTTTGGTTTTTAATCTCTTTTTTGTGTCAAAAGAGAATGACTCAGGATCCATCCTATACTGATCCTATCTCCTTAACATAACAAAGACAGCCCATTCACAATTGGGATTATAACCACAGCCACTGTTGTTGTTGTTATGTGCCATTCAGTCAGCCTGTCTCATAGTGACCCCTCCTTGGGTTTCCAAGGCAGTATCACTACGGAAGTAGATTGCCCAATCTTCCTTCCGAGGAGTGACTTGAACCGCCAGCCTCCAGGTTAGGAGTCAAGTGTCTTAGGCACTACACTACCAGAGCTCCTAACCACAGGCACAGAAGATAAGAATTAAACCAAACTCACTGACATTGAGTTGATTCCATCTCATAGTGACGCCTTCCTGGGTTTCTGAGGTGGTATCTTCACTGAAGTAGATTGCTCAATCTTCCTTCCCAGGAGTGGCTGGTGGGTTTGAACCACCAGCCTTCTGGTTAGCAGTCAAAATCACACCACTTATTTTTAAGGGACAGAATTCAATCCATAACACTAAGTTAAAGATAAACGCCTCCCCCCCAAAAAAAACCATAAATATGTTATCTAAATTTAAGTCTATCATATTAATATTTATAGCTTCCAGCGGTTAGCCCAAAATATTGACATTACAGGGCATTTCTCCACCTTAAGGTACATTTAGAGTATACAGATTTCATTATTTTTCAAGAATTCTCTAGATATGGAATGTGGAATGGTTATGTTTATATATATCCTTTCATACTGAAAGCACATGGACATAACACATAAGTAAATAAATGTTTAAAGAAAACAAATACAACTAAATCTGACTCTATGTGCTCTTTCTCTTAAAAGAAAAAGAAAAAAAAAAAAAAACATTACATCTAATAATATAGCAACCTCTCCTTGGGTTTCCGAGGCGGTATCTCTATGGAAGTAGATCACCTAATCTTCCTTCTGAGGAGTGGCTGGTGGGCTTGAACTGCTAACCTTCTGGTTAGCAGTCAAATGCCTTAGTCACTACACCACCAGAACTCCCAATAATATGTATGGCATATAAATGTCTTCGTATTTTCTTTAGACTGCAATTAAAGACTACCAGCTTTAGCAGTGGGTATGTGTTTGTGTGTGTATGTGAGAGAGATGTCTAGTTAAATATAAATTTAAGATAAGTAATTTTTTGTAGAAGTATGTCCCAAATAGTAGCTCTAGTAGCGTAGTGCCTAAGGCACTTGACTGCTAACCAGAAGGCTGACGGTTCAAACCCACCAGCTACTCCTCGGAAGGAAGGTTGGGCAATCTACTTCCATAGGGATACCGCCTCAGAAACCCAAGGAGGTTATGAGTTGGGCCCGACTCGACGGCACAGAACAACAACAACAACATGTCCCAAATAATGAATGGGGCATCCTAGGTGCCCAGTATTTTATCTGACAACCCTAGACTGCCAATTTTAACAGGGCATCAAACTCAGATATTTGACATATGCTTACACCCAGAGCCTTACCACTCAAAGTGTAGTCCACAGATTTGTAGTATTGGCATCATTGTATTATTCACACACACACTGAATTCATTTTAGTATAAATTGTATTAGCTTGTCTTCATTATTTATTTTATTTATACAGTTTCCATAGGGACAGAAGAACTGGTAGGGGAAGTGGGAAGCAGCAGCAGACAGCTTTTTGGAGGGCCAGGACTGGTAGAGGAAGGCCGGAAAATGGGAGTGGAGCAGTTTGGAAGAGCTAAGGGAATAGAACTCGTCTGCCAGTTTGTCATCTTGTGGTGGCTCGGGTGTTGCTATGAGACTGGAGGCTAAGCTACCAGTGTTTCAAGTGCCAATAGGGTTACCCATGGTGGACAGGTTTCAGCAAAGCTTCTAGACTAAGACAGACTCAGACAAAGGAAGAAGCCATCTACTTCTCAAAAAATTGGCCAGTAAAAAACTTATGAATTGTGGTGAAACACCATCTGATATATTACTGAAAAATAGCCCTGGAACATTATCTGCTATAGTGCCAGAAGAGGAGCCCCTCAGGTCAGAAGGCACTCAACATATGACTAAGAAAGAGCTGCCTCCTCAGAATAAAGCCGACCTTAATGATGTGGATGGAGTAAAGCTTTCAGGACCTACTTTTTGCTGATGTGGCATGACTCAATGTGTGAAGTATGAATCTAGGAAAATTAGAAGTTGTCAAAAATGAAATGGAACACATAAAGATTGATATCCTAGACATTATAGTGAGCTGAAATGGACTGGTTTTTGCCATTTGGAATCAGAGAACCTTATGATCTACTATGTCAGGAATGACAAATTGAAGAGGAATGACATGGCAGTCATCAACATAAAGAATGTTTCAAGATTTATACTTAAGTACAATGCTGTCAGTGACAGGATAATATCTGTATGCCTATGAAGAAGATAAGTTAACATTACTATTATTCAAATTTACACACACCAATCAACAAAGCCAAAGATGAGGAAATTGAAGATTTTGACCAACTTCTGTAGTCTGAAATTGACCGCACATGCAATCAAGATGTGTTAATTATCACTGGTTACTGGAATACAAAAGTTGGAAACAAAGAAGAATCACTGGTAGTTGGAAAATATGGTCTTGGTGATGAAAATTACACTGGAGATCACATGATAGAATTTTGCAAGATCAATGACTTATTCATTGCAAATACTTTTTTTTTTTTTAGCAACACCAATGGCTGCTATAAACATGGACTTCACCAGATGGACTACAAAGGAATCAGACTGACTACATCTGTGGCAAGAGGCAATGTAAAAAGTCAGTATCTTCAGCTGAAACAAGGCCAGGAGCTGATTGTAGAACAGACCATAGTTACTCATATGGAAGTTCAAGGTGAAGCTGAAGACAATTAAAACAAGTCTACAAGAGCCAAAATATGACCTTGATTATGTCCATCCTCAATTTAGAGACCATCTAAAGAACAGATGTGATGCATTGAACACCAGTGACCAAAAACCAGAAGAACTGAGGGATGACATCAAGAACATCATCCATGAAGAAAGCAAAAGGTGATTAAAAAGACAGGAAAGGAAGAAAAGACCAAAATGATGTCAGGGGAGACTCTGAAACTTGCCCTTGAATGGTGAGTAGCTAAAGCAAATGGGAGAATCAACAGGATAAAAAAGCTGAACAGAAGATTTCAAAGAGCCACTTGAGAAGACAAAGTCAATTATTATAATGAAATGTGTGAAGACCTGTAGTTAGAAAACCAAAAGGGAAGAAAACATTTGGCATTTCTCAAGCTGAAAGAACTGAGAAAAAAATTTAAGCCTCAAATCGCAATACTGAAAGATGCCATGGGCAAAATGTTGAACGATGCAGGAAACATTAAAAGAACATGGATGGAATACAAAGAGTCACCACACCAAAAAGAATTGGCAGATGATCACCCATTTCAGGAGGTAGCATATGATCAAGAACCAATGGTACTGAAGGAAGAAATCAAAGCTGCACTGAAGGAACTGGTGAGGAACAAGGCCCTGGGAATTGACAGAATACCTATTAAGATGCTTCAACAAATAGATGCTGCGCTGAAGGCACTTAGTCAGCTATGCCAAGAGATTTGGAAGACAGTTACCTAGCCATCTGACCGGAAGAGATCCGTATTTGTACCCCTTCCAAAGAAAGGTGATCCCACAGAATGTGGATATTATCAAACATTATCATTCATATCCCATGCAAGTAAAATCTTACTGAAGATAAATAAAAAATGGTTGCAAGCAGAATATTGACAAAGAATTTCCAAAATGCAAGCTGGATTCAGAAGGGGATGTGGAGTGAGGGGTATCATAGCTGATGTCAGATGGATCTTGGCTCAAAGCAAAGAATATTACAAAGACATTTACTTGTGCATTATTGATTATGCAAAGGCATTTGATTATGTGGATCATAACAAATTGTGGATAACATTGAAAAGAATGGGAATTCCAGACTACTTATCTGTACTCATGAGGAACCTGTATATAGATCAAGAGGCTGTCTTTCAAACAAAACAAGGGGATACTGCATGGTTTAAAACCAGGAAGGAGTGTGTCAGGGTTGTATCCTTTTACCATACTTGTTCAATCTGTATGCTGAGCAAATAATCCAATAAACTGGACTATATGAAGAAGAATGTGGCATCAAGATTGCAGGAAAGCTTATTAACAACCAGCAACACACAGACGACACAACTTTGCTTGCTGAAAGTGAGGATGACTTAGAGCACTTATTGATGAAGATTAAAGACTATAGTCTACAGATGGGTTACACCTCAATATAAAGAAACCCAAAATCCTCACAACTGGACCAAGAAGCAGCATCACTATTGATGGAAAAAAGACTGAAGTTGTCAAAGACTTCATATTACTTGGTTCTACAATCAATGCCAATGGAAGCGGCAGTCAAGACATCAAAAGACATACTGCATTGGGAAAATCTGCTGCAAAAGACCTCTTTCAAATGATGAAGACCAAAGATACCTCCTTGAAGACTAAGATGTGCCTAACCCAACCCATGGTATTTTCAATTGCCTCATATGCATGTGAGAGCCAGACAATAAATAAGGAATACTGAAGAAGAGTTGATGCTTTTGAGTTGTGGTGTTGGCAAAGAATGCTGAAAGTACTGTGGACAGCTAAAAGAACTAACAAATCTGTCCTAGAAGAAATGCAGCTGGAACGCTCCTTGGAAGTGGG